CTGTACAGTTCATTGTTTCATTGTCCGGTGAAGACTAGAAGACGATTTAATCAGCAGAATGGGAGGAGATGAAGTTGGTGATTAATTTTTACTCCCTGAAAAGCAGATTTAATTAATTAAAACAAATTTTAAAATGTTGTCAACCAGTCAGTGGTTACATCTGTGATGGAGGTAATTGATGGATTGGCCAGTGGTTACTCGATGTTGATGAGATGTGTCGAAAAAGATAAATTAGAGGTGCTTACTTGTGCCATTCAGTGAATGGTAAGGCCTAGTTCAAATCCATCATATTTAGGGATAAAAAATCACATCTTTTGGGGACTTTCGAGAGTTCAGATGACGTTGAGGACTCGAGAACTCGTGCTTTGCCTTTAGTGGGACGCGTTCTTCCTTCACTTCGAGCAACAGACTCTCCACGAAGTCTGCCGACGAGATACAAGCGACCTTCAAAGTAGCAGCGAAGTAAATCAACTCACTTCAACAACCTTTGCTGATGGGACTCATTGGAGAGACCGACTTCTCTTACAAATCCCTTGTTAACAAGGAATACTTACATCAGAGGGTGATCACAATTTCACGGTGCTTAGGGGCACACTTGTTTATTCGAGTTGGAACCGGTGAGTGAAGGAATTCGGGAGACACCTCGAGTGCACTTAACTGACACCAATCCAAAGCTCACAAGACCAATGCCACCCCAATTGTTGACCACAGGTCTGCAAAGCAGCAAATAATTTTGAAAAAAAGGGTTCGCCCTATTTCGTTCTTAGTCGAAGGCTCACCTCTTGGCAGTGGTAAGAAGAAAGTTGAGGCCAAAGCGGCTCATTCGAGGAGGCAAGGCGAGAAAGCATTAAGGTAGAACATGCACTATAGGCGGATAGAAGGGCTGATGGATTCATTAAGGTGAACCTCGAGTCATGAAATCACCCAAAGCCCAAAACAAAAAGAAGGCTTGAATAAATTAGCAAATCACCGAAATGGTAACCGAAGGTGAATGCCTTACCTACCGACCCCGAGCTTTTATTTTTCAAAGCTATGCCTGAGAAATTTGGAAACATAATTGAATACAATGTTTTCTCCTCATTTTGCGGTACTGAAAAGGCGAAGAATGGGTGCGCTATTAAACATAAGAAAGGAGTGATGTCGGAAAAATAGGATTAGACTACCTTTTGGGCAGCAAAAGTTATGGACATCGAAGCTCAAAATCCTCTTAAAAAAGGCTAATTAAAGTTAAATAAAGTTAGTATAAATAGCCGTGGTGTGACCTCCAAACCATTTAGAAATGCATAAAGCCTGTGCCTTAGTGTGTGTGTGCGTGTGTGTGCCTGTGATTGTGACAAGTCCTTCTGCCACTTCGGCGAAGACGTGGGCGGTAGCAACAAACTTGCTAAATATTTTATGCTCCGCTGGGATATTTTGGTGATATAATGACCTCGCTTATGCAAAATGCGTGGGCAAACACCGCTAAAAAGTCAGAACCGTCTTTAGTAACTCCCATCCAAATATTGTCATGGCAACAATTGAATCCTCATCTGTCTACCATCACAGTACAGTTAAAGGAGTGCCGTAACAACAAAGACACTGACAAGGGACACATACTAAGTGCCGAGAAATCATTAAGATAGCGGCATTAAGCATGAAAAACGTAGGAGTGTATTTCTTCCACCTGCCCCTCCCCACATTGTGGGCAATAAATTCATGCCACGTCACATCGACGCAGGAGCTTGCTCCGGCTTGCAAACGTAAGATTATTTCAAAAAGTTGCGGGAAAGGTAAAGTTATGGCACTTCTGGTGTTAACGGAGAAGGAAACTATTGATTTAACCAGAATAAGTTATGGGGTTTGGAATTCCTTCACGTTTTTCTCCACCATTCTGAAATCATATACCTTTTTATGACAAATAATACAGTAAAATTACTTAACTATGCGTTAACTTTTACGATAAAAGTTGAATTATTGCTTGTTAATATTCTTTTAATGTATTAATCAAGGTTAGCACGCCAAACGTTTTTTTAAAAATGAGCATTATGGTAATTCCGTGGTGATGCGGGCATTTGCGCCCTGTAAATGGAGTATGGAAGAGCGCTTGAGTAATTTTTCGCGTGGATAGAAACTTTTTTATCATTCCTACTTATTTATTATCTTCCGTTGACGGAGTGATGTGAGCGGGTGGGGAACAAGCGGGAAAGCAGAGCAAATTGGTCGTACAAAATGCTGCATCACTTAGCAGTAGACGCATTAGGTGAGAGGCGAAAAAGGACATCTCGCCCGACTATTATGCTTGGCGCCTACAATCCGCTCCATTACATCCATAAAAGGAGCGAGTATTTAAGCTAAATACCGGCCGAAAACAAAGCATTATTTTTCGCTAAATGTCTCACAGAACCTGTGTTTTTTGGTACGAAAAGGTAGTACACTGTTCTGTATTTTGAATGTAAGGGGAGTAGCTGCATGCCATCTTCATCATTTTGCTCAAAAAATCTTCTTGCTATGTATGTATGGTCGAGTCAAAAAGACGTTCAAATTATTATTTGTTTCGGAACTTCGCCCATTTTGTTTGGCCTTTAATCATGAATGCGCTGCTCCCTTCTTAACTAAAGGGTATGCATTATTTCAGGCATAATTTTGTTGTCACAGCCTGACAACACCACTGGCAAGCCATGTGCTTGTCATTACTTGTCGTTGAGGCAGAGTCAAACGAATGGTCCGCCATGATGTAAAGCCACTAGTTGCATTACCAATCTTATGCAGCTTCAATCTCTTCGCCTGTTAGGCAACGAGAAGCTAAAAATCGTTTTAAATTTTACAGCTCCAAAATTTAGAGTGTACTTTTGCTTCCATTTAGGCTGAGTTAAAAATTTTGCTTTAGGTTCGTGACTTAACACATTACTTTAAGGCATAGTTGATAAAAAAATGTAAAAGTGGAAATTATTAAATCAACGATCACCTCTGTGCGCCTAGCTTAAGCTTTAGCCTTAACAATGTCTTGTTTCTACAATTCAGGTCTAATTTTTTAATGCCTGTCCCTTAAAAAAATGAGGGCAAATATATTAGCGCTAAGAAAATACAAGTTGCTGAAGGTGAACAGATGATGTTTTCGTCTCGCCTTACGTTCAACGCTAATTATGTTTGTCCTCTGCTCGAATGGTTTCCAAGAAGACGGTGGCATTTTTACAAATTTCACTTCTTTTGCCCCAAGTATTTAATGCTCCAACAAAGAGGTAAATCGGCAGTCCAAAGTGCTACGAGTTGTCTTGGAGGGCGCATAAGTGGACCATTTGAGAGTGGCCAATAAAATTGCTCGTGTGCTTGACAAATGGTGGAGGTAAAGTGGCCAACCTAAAGTACAACTTATTCATTTAGCAAATGCTCATACAACAATGCATCTTAAGGGGGCTAAAGAAACAAGGAAGAGGTTGAAACGCCTTAAATCCTCCTGCTTGTCATAGAAGGTGCGTAAATGTTGAGTAGCTCTCCTCATTCTCTCATACATGGCATCTAATATGAGCCAACAACGCCATGCTCTGGCAACCACGATGTCCTTCGTTTGCTAATTTTAATTGTTATTTTAACTTACTAATCACACACTCATTGCAAAGAAGTGATAATTTAATCACTGATTTTAAGAGGATACAATAAGTTGGATGCGAAACGCTGATGGTAAGCAATTTAAAAGGATTTAATCCTAACTTTAAAATTAAACATTTTCTACTGAAGAAATTAGATGTGGTTAGATAAATCGACACTCTCGGTCGACAGGGAGTAAAGTTGGCCGAATGATTAGCTGCTAACTTAGAAGAAAGCATTAGGAAAATGGTTCGCACCCTCTGCAATATTTTCACTGTTTTTTACCTCTGTCATCGTCTTGTTAAGTCTGTAAAACAAACTCTGGTCGCTAAACAATAAGTATTGCGTGTTCAGTGACATAAAATCTGGTTGACAATGTTTCGTGACCTGCAAATACTACTTCAATGGATAAGTGAATGCAACCATGAGTGTAATGAAACACAAAACACCTAAGGTTGAAAACTGATGAGAAAAGGATTTCTTTTTTTGATCTCAGCTTTGGGCAAGGACTGTTCGAACGGATTTGTTATTCGCTGTCACCTTTGAAGGTGTAGAAGCAACTCCACAGGCTTTGACTAAGACACTTAAACAAAGCAGGAAGCATTTACAA